TTGGCCCTGGGATTATTAAAGTATTTCTGATTCTTATTCCTGGTTGATGGGACAGGTGTTGTGAATAAAACGGTGCCCAGCTTGAAAGAGCTCCTGTGTGTCTCTGAATGTGTGCATTGATGACTGAAAGACATCTTCTGCCTCCATTTATCTGTTTACTACAGTGTGTTGAATTCATGTTAATGTGGATTTAAAGACATTTCAATTCAGGAGGGAATATAAAAAAAAAAAAAAATGAATCAACGAAAAGTTTCGCGACCCCCATGCAGTGCCTCCGCGGACCCCCTAGGGGTCATGGACCCCCTGTTGAAGACCTCTGGTCTAAAACATTTGTTCATTTTTTTTCATCTAAACAAGACTGAGTCTTAACAGACAAGATTAACAATAACTTCATTTCAGTATATTAGTGCATTACAAATATTTGTTGCTATTGCTTTCTTTAAAATGTATCCATTAGATTTGAATCATATACCGTAATTGCACTTAGGATGGATTTATTCAATGACTAAAGAACGATTTAGGAAGCAAAATTGATGTGCTCTGCTTCTGGGGTTTATTTCTGTCTGTGTTTTACCTTGTTTTGACTGATCAATTATGCAGCAACAAAACACATTGGCAGCATTTGTTTACCTGTTTAATTAAAACATAGATTTTTAAACTTTGTGTACAGTTGAAACCTTAAGTTTGAGTTTTTATTGAACTTAATACAGAGTAAGAAAACTGCATATTCAAATGTATTTCAAAAGGAGTCTGTTTCTTCCATTTAAGGGGGTTAAATGGAAGAAACAAAGTCCTTTTGAAATAAATTTGCTGTGGGCTGCTATTATCTACTGCTGGGAAGCGTCCTGTGGCTGGACTGTAACCGTCTGGGAATCAAACCACAGAACCAAGCACCAAACGACTAGACCATCCATTCCTAGAGCTTCTTTTCTTTTTAAATAGAAAATACCCATTTAGCATACAAACTTTGCTTAATGTGGTGAGTTTAAGATTAAAACTTTGATCTTTTGCATTGAAAACATCCTAAATGTTCCTAGAGTCCCAGCAGAACCCTTAAAAGCATAATAACAGCTGACCCAAAGATAGCTTTATTTCATCAATCTGTCTACTTGCTATTAGGGACTTTATGCTGTTTCACTTTAGAGCTTTATAGACTGAAATTATCTAATTGATGACCTTAAGGCATTTGACCAAAATAGGACAGCTTTGAAGCAAAGTCAGAAGACTTATATATAAATTAATGTAAATAATCAGTATCAGTAGCTGTAAATCATCCTCCGCCTTACCGCCATGGAAACCAAGTGAAGACTCAGGCGCCTGTAATTAGTCTGCCTGATAAAATCTTTCTGTAAACAATTACAACTGGATGCCCAATTGATGAACTGTGAATATAGCCCAGATTATGTTTGCAGAGGGAGGCTGGCGCTGTGTACGTGAAGTGTTCAGATGTAGTTCTTTTCTGTTACACGAACACAGAAATCACTTTCTAAACATGATTTAAAAGCAATAAAAATCCAGAATGGGTGCTGCACAGCCCGCACATGTAGAAGTTTGCACTAGGGGTTACGCAGATGAGTAGATGGAGTATACTGTTGGCTTTAAATTATTACACTGGAGTTGAAGACATAAGAGATACAAGTTTATTGTTCATTATCCGCAGGGACACAAGCAGAGTTTTGAATTGAATCTCGTTGGCTCCATGTATTTTTCCTGCCTCAGTAACTTTGATTAATTAAAGTAAAGAGGAAAACATTTGGAAGATTGAAATGTATCATCCATCACCAGGACTAATAACTACATTCAACAAGTTTGCTGCAAATGATAGATTATGACACAACATACTTTTAGTGGCACTAAAATAAAGAGCCAGAATTTAATTTTATCCTAGATGGTTGTGTTCTTCAAAAGACAGATTTTAGCTTATTAAATCTTTTTTTTTTCTTCAGAATTTAGCAGAACTAAACAGGCACAAAACATGAAGTGTGAGACATTATTGTTCGCAGAGCTTGTTTGCTTTATTTTTGTGGGGTGCAAATATATGTGATGGCTGTTTAAAAACCCTGTAAATAAAAGTGAGACATTGTGCTGTGCAAAACTATTCACACCCCTTACACTTTTTTTTGTTTTGTTTCATGTAATACATTTCAGTTTTCTGTTTATTAAAGTATTAAAACCATTATCATCTATTAGTTATAATTTGAATTTTGAAAAAATGAAACTTTTAGTTTTAAAAAGAAAATTTGAAAAATCTAATAAAAAAATGAATGATTTGGGAAAATAAAATCTGAGCAAACACCAAAAATACTCTCAAAACCTTTTTTTATTTAGGTTTTCTGTAGTTTCATTTCTGAATTGTATTTTTTTGGAGATGTTTAGTTAAAAAACAAAATTATCTTCAATTTTTTTTACCCCAAAATTTTTCCAGTGAATCCATGTTATAGAAATACATTTTCCTCCAGTATTTTCTAAAGCTTCTTACTATCTGGTCAGTATTCTGCAGTAAATTGAAGCAGAAATGCATGAAAATGTGTTTATTCATTTATCACAAATAGTATAATTCAGCAACATTCCATCATTTCACCTGCGATGATCCAACCCTGCTAGGAAAGCAGTCATTATATATTCTAATAAATACAGACATATCTGCATGTCTGCAAGGTTTTTCTTTTTGTTGGCGTTGGCAGACTGGGGGCACAGCTGGTTCCAGTTTGCACCTGAATTAGCAGGCTATTAGCTGTGAGAGGAGCTGGTTTTATGGCCAGTTGCTCATTTGGCTGGATATGTGCTGCATAGCTTAGTGAAGGCTTAGAGTGGCTACTGCTTTGAGTCATTAAGTAAAGTTAACCCTGTCATAAGGCTGTGTCTGTGAAGCTGATATTTAAACAGATAGCGTTAGCTTATGACATCCAGAGAGTTTACTGCAGATCCAAGAGCCTTAATGACCTTTTCAACTTGCTGTCAAACATCAGTGTTGTAGCATTAGTCCAGCTGGTAATAAGTATACAAATAGGACAGTTTGCATTGATTTGGATTATTCTGCAAGGATTTCACTGAGAAATATTAACTGGTATGCCTTTTGCTCACAATATTGGCTGCTTCTTTCAGTCCCTTTTGTCACATTTGTTTACTCAGTTCCTTCCTCCTGAAAGTTGTACCCCTATTTTAATATTTTTATTGAATCTGGGTCCTTTTTTGTGTTTTGTTATTCTCTGTCTTGTGGCCAAGACTCCTTTGCAAACGTGGTATTTTGACCTCACCGGGACTATCCTGATTAATTAAAGCCTACATAAAAGAAATGGATTAAAAATACCATACTTTACAGTTTTGAAAAGTCTCAATAAGTTCATAAATTCATTATGATGTGTGTTTAATGTCTGTAAAGACATGGAAACATAAAAGCGTATTTAATAGGCAGATTATCCTTTTTACCTGCTCAAATACTCTTAATTTAAAAAAAAAAGTTTACTTATTTTTAGACCAGTTTTTGCAGTGTAGATTTCCAAACTTAGATTATCCATCCATAATTTCATCTGAATGTCTGGCTTTCAATGCTTTCATCTCTGTGCATCCATCTTGTTTTAGGACCAATATACTCATCAGAAGCAGAATCGGTTAGATAATTAATCTTCTTTTGTGAAAATTCTTCTCAAAATTGGAGCAATGATCTGGCAGTACACTTGCACCCTGTAAGACTTCTTTTTTTCAGAATTAATAATCTAACAATCTGCTCTTGCTTGGTATATTAATCTAAAAAAAAGATCAAAAAATCCTTTTTGGCTAGATTTAAGATTGTAAGACAGTGTTTACACTGCAAAAACAATCTAGAAATAAGACAACATTTCTTAAATTAAGTGTATTTGCCTTTAATTTGAGCTGGTAAGTAGGACAATTTATCAATGGAAAGAGTATTTTTACTCTCTGAAATAATATAAGCAGATAATGTGCACTTGAAATAAGGCAAGTGTTTTTTTTCCTTTTTTTAAATGTAAACTGTCTTGTTCCATTGGCAAAGTGTCTCACTTACCTCCTCAATTCGAAAAAGAATGACTTATTTAGATTTCCATCACTTTCTCTCTTTCCATCCTTCCAGCTGTTTGTGTTTCATTCACCATCTGTTCCCTTCAGCCAGCGTTTTCTTTCTGCAGACATTCTCTATCCTTTTTTAAAGCCTGACCACTGTAGAAAATAAATATAGCATGATTCTCTCAATTAGAAACAGACTAAAAGACCTCAACATTTGTGTGAGGAAAAAGTATTATTTTCTTACCTTTATTGAAATAAATAATCTGCTTATCTGGCATTTATCTCCATGTTTCATACTAAAACCCGTTAAAATAATAAATCGTCACAATAAGCAATAAATCAATTAATCATATGATAGAAATGACTTAAATGATAAATTAAAATGTGCTCAATAATTAACATTTGCCTGCTTGCTTGTTTTTCCTTCCGTCTCTCTTTGTGTTTAAGAGTCTGGATGACATAAGGTTTCACTGCGGGGGTTCGTCTCCTCTCACCCATCCCCGTATTGTTTCCAGTCTAGCATTAGAGCCTTGCAACTGAGGACTAGCAAGTCAGAGAAATGCTTGTTGAGATTTAAAATAAATTAAGAATAAAGGATTGATGATTTTTCAAAGCCGAATGTAACAGCTACAGTATGGAACACTTTGGATTGAAACTGAATGACAATATTATCCTCCATCGCAGTGATTTTTGGGACAATTTATCATCCAGCAAAAGTTGGCCAGTAAAATGTTTCAGCTCTTGGGAAATCTAAACTGTTTGCAGCAACAGATTGATTGCAGTTACATCTGGACCAGGAAGCCTTTCCTGACCTTCTCTGTCACCTTTTCCCTCTAATGAGCTCCCTAGCCAGCCTAACGACAGACAGAGCAGCATCCAGTTTCCTCCCAGGTCCCCTAGTTTCTGAATTACAAAAAGGCTGAATTTCCTCCACTGTCCTTTAATGGAATCTACCTGTTTTTCTTCTTGTCTTGCAGTTGGGAAGACATCTCTGATCACGCGGTTCATGTACGACAGCTTTGACAACACGTATCAGGTAGGTGCTTATACGGTCTATAATAATACAACCTACACTATATTGCCAAAAGTATTTGCTCACCCATCCAAATTATTGGAATCAGGTGTTCCAATCACTTCCATGGCCACAGGTGTATAAATTCAAGCACCTAGGCATGCAGACTGTTTTTACAAACATTTGTGAAAGAATGGGTCGCTCTCAGGAGCTCAGTGAATTCCAGCGTGGAACTGTGATAGGATGCCACCTGTGCAACAAATCCAGTCGTGAAATTTCCTCGCTCCTAAATATTCCACAGTCAACTGTCAGCTGTATTATAAGAAAATGGAAGTGTTTGGGAACGACAGCAACTCAGCCACGAAGTGGTAGGCCACGTAAACTGACGGAGCGGGGTCAGCGGATGCTGAAGCGCATAGTGCGAAGAGGTCGCCAACTTTCTGCAGAGTCAATCACTACAGACCTCCAAACTTCATGTGGCCTTCAGATTAGCTCAAGAACAGTGCGCAGAGAGCTTCATGGAATGGGTTTCCATGGTCGAGCAGCTGCATCCAAGCCATACATCACCAAGTGCAATGCAAAGCGTCGGATGCGGTGGTGTAAAGCACGCCGCCACTGGACTCTAGAGCAGTGGAGACGCGTTCTCTGGAGTGACGAATCGCGCTTCTCCATCTGGCAATCTGATGGACGGGTCTGGGTTTGGCGGTTGCCAGGAGAACGGTACTTGTCTGACTGCATTGTGCCAAGTGTAAAGTTTGGTGGAGGGGGGATTATGGTGTGGGGTTGTTTTTCAGGAGCTGGGCTTGGCCCCTTAGTTCCAGTGAAAGGAACTCTGAATGCTTCAGCATACCAAGACATTTTGGACAATTCCATGCTCCCAACTTTGTGGGAACAGTTTGGAGCTGGCCCCTTCCTCTTCCAACATGACTGTGCACCAGTGCACAAAGCAAGGTCCATAAAGACATGGATGACAGAGTCTGGTGTGGATGAACTTGACTGGCCTGCACAGAGTCCTGACCTCAACCCGATAGAACACCTTTGGGATGAATTAGAGCGGAGACTGAGAGCCAGGCCTTCTCGTCCAACATCAGTGTGCGACCTCACAAATGCGCTTCTGGAAGAATGGTCAAAAATTCCCATAAACACACTCCTAAACCTTGTGGACAGCCTTCCCAGAAGAGTTGAAGCTGTTCTAGCTGCAAAGGGTGGACCGACGTCATATTGAACCCTATGGATTAGGAACGGGATGTCACTTAAGCTCATATGTGAGTCAAGGCAGGTGAGCAAATACTTTTGGCAATATAGTGTATCTGCTTTGATCTGTAGGCCTTTGCTTTGATACCGTCGGCAAATCAAATGAATAAACTCCACTGGAAAACACTCTACTAGAAATACCAATGTCTGTTTTCCTGTGTCAAATAATGAAACATGTTAAAACAGCAACGCTTGGAATGAAAAATCTTCAAAAGAAAATTTCTTCCCTCTGTGATTAGTGCTTTTAATCCTGCTTTGCAGAGCATCTCCGTCTCACTGAATATTTCTTCTCCAGCTGCAGCAAATCTACAGAACATCTGAAGGCCCTACCTTTAATAATGCCTGCAGGTTTATAGCTTGATAAGAAAAAAGTGTCTAATCACAAAGTCATAAAGTGGGAATAGTTAGTTAGTCTTTAACCCTCATTCTCTGTCTTTAACTCATTTAGTTCTTAATTTGGCCTGCATAACATATAAAGTACAGAGATTATCTCAGGGAAACTGAAAATACTGTATGTTTTAAAGAGTGTGGAAAGTGAATAAGTTTAAATGGAATCTGATACATATATCGAAGAAGATGGTTTATAGTTTATCAGAAAATCACTTAACAGATCAGTCTCTTTTCCTGCGGGGGGCAAGAATGGACTTGAGGTAAAACCCTCAGTAGGCGACAGTGAAAGCAGAGACCATGTAGAAATATACCGTCAGCATCTTTGAAAAAGTCATTTTTTTATATGAAACTTTTTTGCCTTTTAAAGCACATTTCCACCTTGAGAAAAATAGAAAAGATTGCAATAATTATTTTTAAAACTTCCCCCACTACCCCTACCTTTAAAAGAATAAGGTGATTTTAATAGAAATGTCATCCCTGACGATTAGCAGCCGTCATCAGCATGGGTCTGTCTTTCTATTGCAACCTCCTGATGTCAGTCTAACCTCAGAGGGAACCTCCTACTGAGAGCTTCCTGTTTATTAGTGGGAAATCAGCTGGAGCTGATTGATTGTTTGGTGCCATCTCGGCCTGATGATGTCATATGAGCTGCACAAACGACAAACTGTCACTGAAACAGAACAGTCGATAGATAAATCATAAACGCTGTTGTGGGTTTTTTTGGGTAATCACTAGAAAAGCAGCAAATTATAGAGAAAGTATTGAATCTATGAACTAAAGTGATGAACTGATGTCACTCCAACTTAAGGCAGCCCAAGAATTGCATTGGTGGAAGAAAACGATCCAGATTTGGAAAAAAAAATAAAAAAATGTATGAATCGATCTCTGTTACATGATGCATATTTCATTGCCCAGCACTGCCTTCCTTTCTCTTCACTGTGCTTATCCATCCGTTTAATTCGTTTGTTCTACTAAGAAATGATAAACTAGGTCATTATATGATGCCACTAGCTGCATACATTTAGGCCTACCTGATCTTTAGCAGGTTTGTATATCGTGTTAAAGATAGGCTCTGTGTATGCACCTTGATGCTCTATCTGTTCGGGTCTTTTCTCTGAAAAGAGATCACTCGGCACAAACTCTTTAAATAACCACAAGACATGACAACAAATTTGATAGAAACTGTAATCTTACTCAGAAGTTGCTTAGAGATTACAGAATGGCAGCTGCTCACCTCCGGGCTCACCTCTCAGAAGGTTGCCCCGATTAACAGTTAAAAAAGATATTATATACATCCCCAGTCTGCCACATATTCTTATTTTACATCATACATGTTTGAAGATGAGGAAACATCATGGGTCCAGCCCATCAAAATATTACACTTAGCGGAAGGACGCCGCTCTCATTCCATTTCCAAATCTTTGCCACATGCAGAATGAAGATTATAACTGTATATCCGGACAGAGGAACTGTCTTAATTAATTAGATAAACTATTGGGGAAAAGATCAGTTCTGACACACAACAGGGAGCCAATACCTAGGTGTAGCGAAATAACACATCTTCAATGATAATTGAAGCAGATCTTTAAAGAGGTGCAAACTAATTTGTGTTTGCAGTTCAGCAGGGAGCATCTTTTGGTGTCTGTGCCTTCATCAAGATCCAGATCATATTTAGATTTGTGGGTGGGATATATGTGAATGTAAACATTTACCACCTGCAAAGTAATTTCTCAAACCTGAAACCGTGGCCGCAGTGTTTGCTTCTTTTGTTTGTCTGAAAGTCACTAAAAGTACTATAATGTAGTAGAATATTATTTAAAGAAAAACAAACAAATCAATGCAGCAGGACAGAATATGATTATGATATTATTAAACCAAAAAAAAGGAATTTACTCTAATATTATGGGGAAAAAAATTACAATAGTGAAAGTTTGCAGAAGAGATATGTTTAATTTTCTCAATAAAACACGTTGACAGAATCATTGGTAACCTTTGTTAAAAGAAAGAAAAACCCACAATGGTCTCAATAACTTGAATCTCAAAAAAAATATTATAAATCAAAGTTCTATGAAGTCTGCCTCCTTCACAATAATGACTAAATACATTTTATTGACCATATGCATTATATTAACATTATGAGTTGCAAACAGTTGATCATTTACCTCCTTATAAGCTCTAATTTGTATAAGATGTATTATTTTTAAAGTGTTTGATGTAGTTTATAGTGGAAAATTTTCTTCAGCTTCTCATCCAAACTGCTCCATAATATTACTCCATGCTCCAAAATGCATGTTTTTTTACTCTTGTATGTTGCATGTTACTATTGCTCACAGTTTTATTAATAAAACACTTTAGAACTTAAAAGAACTTTAGTCAATTAATTGGTAAATATATTTTTCTAGCTGTGCCAGTTAGATAAATATTTAATTTGGTCTAATTTTATAGCCCCAAATCACACTTCATAGTGATATTAGAATCAAGTCATCCATGCAGATTAATTAAACATTTTCTATCTAAGGAAAACTAGCTGATTGCATCCAGTCATTGGTTCCTCAGCAAATCCTCATACTGAGTCTGTATGCAGCGTCAGCGGAGAAGGAAGAAATCTCCAGCAGAACCAGACTCAGTGTGAGTGTCTTTCTCTAGAGGCGATCTGGGGGTTAGGACATGTAGCCTCGTAGGCATTATCTGAGATCAGCATTTTATCAGCATTCCTAAAAGACAGAGAAGAGAAGGTTGAACTTCATTAACATTTCATGGCTATACTTAAACATATTTTCAAGTTTTCAAACAGTGCTACAGTTGGGATAAGTACATAAATCTATTGCTAGTTGAGAAAGTACCATAGTTAAACCATAAAGTCCTGTAGTTATTCTGGAAATATGCTTGAGGGCCAGTTTTGCATAGCTGCAGTGACTGCTGAATTCCCTTCATATGAAAGCCACATTAACTGAATTGCACTCACAAACATGCAAGCATTAATAGACACTTTGGGGCTATAGGTGCCATGCCAACAGCTGCAACATGTGCTGGTATGGAGGATGGAACTGAACCTACAACTGTTTGATTATCAAATTATTCCTTTTACCAATTGAGATTCTCCAAAAAGTCTATCGACAATTTATCAACACCGACCTTCTGTTTACAGTAGGTTACAGTCTCTATCTACTCTGGAGTGCCTTTATATGTGAAATAAGGTGTAATTGCTGTTTTGAGTTTTATTTCTGAAAGATATTTTTATTTACTCATCCTCATGCACTCTGTAAAGTCAGAAGGAAATCATATTTAAATGTCAAATCCTTCTGGCATAAAAATGTATATAAATGTACTATTTATCAGACTCTTTTGTACCAAAATTTAGAAAATTTGTTTTGAAAAAA